CCAATAGCGGGGCCGGCGGGTACAGACGTAATACTTCCTTGATGATGGCTTTCAGGTAGGCCATCTCGTCCAAATCCTCCTCTTTCACCGTTCCTTTTGTTCTGCTCGCTATCCCTCGCACTTGGTGTTGTAATTTTGCCATCACTCTTGGACTCCGGACGAGCTCCGCCATGGCGCACTCCAAGGTTACGTACGATGTCTCGGTACCACCACTGAATATATCCTGCAAGTCGTCGATAATGTGGAAAAAATGAGATCATTTGATGAATCTCAAAATAAACACTACAAGATTGTAGCATCCACATTTCTCACTGATGAAATAAGCACACCTAAATAGGGGGATGGGAGTAGTTTAGATTGCTCTAGTTTGGATGTAGCAATCTGGAGAGAGGGTTTCCTATCTTGTAAAAGAAATTGCCTGAAGGCATAACATACGAATATAATTAATACAATATGACAAACACACAGTGAACTCAAGAAAGTTATCGACAGACATACATCACTCACTTTCGTATGAAACGAATTATAATTTGTCATTAGTTGTTATATGTGCTATCCATAAAACAGCAAGCAAATATTTGAACAATAAATATATCACTTAATAATTTAGGACGAGGAATCATACCATCAGAAGTGCCTTTATGGTTTGTGGAGTCAGGAGAGCATGATTCCCTCCTGGATCCTCCCGAAGAGAGAGCAGAACATCCACGAAGTCCTTCTCGCCATCATCACCTTCAGCTGCTGATCGATCTTCGTGTTCTTGGATCACCCCATCAAGCAAATCATCCCATCTCTTCTTGGACTTGTTGACTCTCTCCATAGAGCCAAACAATACATCCAGCCAACCCAGCCATGGGAAGTAGTCCCCCACGTAGAACTTGCCCAGTAGCACCGAAAACTCCCGGATAAGCTCGCCTAACAGCACGTTCCTCCCGTCTTCTCTGTTGAACTTCCCCGAAACAACTCGACATAACATATCGTTGGCGAAGGAGTAAAAGATCTCAGACATGTCGACGCTCGTCGTCGGCGAAGCTTGAGAGGAGATCTTACGGATCATGAAACCCACTTCCTCCTGCCTAATGAGTCGATAAGACTGAACTCTTATGGAGCTCAAGAGGTGGAAGGCGCAGATCTTCCTAAGCTGCCTCCAGGAGTCACCGTAGGGCGCTAACGCCAAGTCCGTCGTCCCGTCGAAGAGGACTTTGGCCGGCTTTAGAGCAGGCCGGCTGGCAAAGACTTGATCGTGGTTGCGCATGACATCTCGGGCGCCATCCGGCGACGAGACCACGAGGGTTGGCACCTGACCCAAGCGCAGCAGCATGAGGGGGCCATGCTTCTGCGACAGGGCGTGGAGGGAGCGGTGAGGGAGCGAGCCGAGTTGATGGAAGTTGCCTACGAAGGGAAGCTTGGGCGGGGAAGGGGGCATGTCATGGGTCCTTGCACGCAGGTTTCTTTGGAGTGCCAGACGAAGCAGCAGTAAAGAGAGAGGTAGGACGAGTATGATGAAGAGTGTAGGCAGTGGAGATGGGGGAAGGAGAAGAGGCATCGAGGAAGACATTGCCATGATTCGTAGTTTGTTGTTGCTCCAAACAAACTCCAGTCGGGACGTTCCAAATGTATTGCTATTTGTGGTGACAGCTAAGAAGTTCCGACTTCGAGTGTCTTTCCCAGTTCGTCCCCCACACACCAAGTCTTTCGAAATCACCACGTTTTCCGTCCAACTCGACATCAATCCCTTTCTTTGTTACAACACTGCCTTTTCATTTCCTGTGTGCTTTACGAGGGTTGAAAAAAACTATAAAAAAAAAAGGGAAGAGCACTTAAATGAAATTGTAAATTAAGAAAAAATATATATATATATGGCATAATTTAATTAAGACTCTGCCCAATTAATTTAAATATAATTATAATCGTATGTAACAGATAATAAAGATGAAAATATCCTCTAAACATGCAGAGCACTTTAAAATGGTTTTTAAGAAAACATTGAATTTTCCTTGTATTTTTAAAGGTCCCCCAACCCCCCCAAAAGGCATTATGATCAATTTAGCAGAAAGAAAACGTTGAATCTCATGCACTTTCTGCGTCATCACAAGAGTCAATTTTCCTGAGAATTGAAAGCACAGAGAGTGACTGTGAATCACCCATTAGACACCGTGAAACACACCAGTGGAACATACCATCAGCCATGTCCTTGGTGTCGTGGAGGAGAAATGTCCCCAACAAAATCGTGATGAAGCCACAGATATCTGTCACAATCTGCGTGGAAGTTTGCCGATCCCAATCCTGCGAGGATTAGATGATGCAGAAACTACACTAATTATTGACAAAAGAAAGCATTAGGTGGCTGATATTGATATTTCTATCCCACAAATTATTGGTCATGTCATTCGTTCATCTTTTATTTACAGCAAGTAATTTATCGACCTAAAGCAAAATTCATCATGATAAATCATAGGAGGATAATGTCATCATCTTTAAAAAAAATAAATATTCTACAATTTTTTTTATAAATATTGATGATGCTAACTAAGAATCTCACAATAATTTTTTTTCAAAAAAAAAATTTATCTTAAAATAAAATGGATAGACAAACGAAGATGACATAATTATTATGCGGTAGAATTAGAGTTGTAAGTGAATTTTGTCTTATACTTTATTTTAAAAAATGGTAAGACATGTTTCTCTCGTAATTATTCTTTCCTATATTTTTTTAGGTAAAAAATTAATTTTTTAGAGAAAATTTGTCCTAACTTTTTATGATAGTCCACTTTTATACTCCAAAAAAAATTCTCCAAACAAAAACTACATTGTTCAGCCATTAGCCCCTCCTTGGCACCTGCTGCACATATTTGCCCGTCGCACCCGCTCGCCTACGGCACATGCTCGCTCATCACACTTGCTCGTCCATTATCCTTCTTTCCAACCTACTTGTCTACCGTCCTGTCATCCTGCTGGCCGATGACGACCTCATCGTCGTTAGTAAAGCTTACTTCTGCATGCACTAAGCATGCGTCTGTGGTATGCCTGGCAACTCGAGCTGCCGGATGGGATGTTGTTAAGGGGCGTAACATTATTGGCCATCAAACCAAGCGAGGAGTGGACGACGGGGGCAGTCGATGGATTTCTCGTGCACTTGGATGGTTGCAAGGTTTCAGATGCGTTTGAAGAGCCATACAGGACAGCAGCCAAGATGCTCATGAACAAGAGGACTTACTGTATCGAGATGAATTCCTTCTGAGCCCACAGAAGCCAAACCCAATTATAGCTCTTTACAGGTGCAAATTAAATCTTGCTCGAGTTAAAAGGATCGAGAACCAAAGAAGTTGCTAAACCTTGTATGCTTTGATTTGAATGATGAAGAAAGATGGATCATCGTACTTATTGTAGTCGGAGTGGCAAAGACTAAGAAGCCCTTGGATACAATTAATTCCGTGTGTTTCCTTCGATACCCATACGCAATGACCACAATTTAATGTTTTTATTCTAGTATTGTATCTATCATATTTTGAATTTAAAATCTTAAATAATTTAATGCTTTAACATTGAAATTGTTTGGCTTTTGTCCTGTTAAAGGGAGAGAGAGAGAGGAGAATCAAAAATAAAATAAATATTCAAATATTAATAATAAAAGATATAATAGAAAGTCGATATAAGATTGATATGGTTTACTAACTCCGACTTATATTTATCATGTATAATCAATCATAAGATCAATGAGTTATCTTCGTCAAATACAATCCTCTCCTATCCACTCTCATATAAATAATAAAAAATTTATATATTTTCTTATCCTCTCTAAAATCCCTAAAGATATGTAGGATATTTATAAAATAACACAATCTTAATTGACAAAGATCTTTTCTTTCACGACGACTTTTTCTTATACTGAAATTTCTTGTCCTTCTAGAACAGTGACTTTAGAAATTTTAATCCAACTTCTTGACCATCATCGCCACACCATAAATAGAGCAACCCAAGCGGAGTTTGGAGAATCAACTACGTGACAATGTCTTCCTCCATGTCTCTACTGCTTGGCCCATCCCCGCTCCCTGCTCTCTTCATCATACTCATCCTACCTCTCTCTTTACTACTGCTGCTCCGTCTAGGACTCAAAAGAAACAACCTCCGTGCAAGGACCCATGGCATGCCCCCTTCCCCGCCCAGGCTCCCCTTCATAGGCAACTTCCATCAACTCGGCTCGCTCCCTCACCGCTCCCTCCACGCCCTGTCGCAGAAGCATGGCCCCCTCATGCTGCTGCACTTGGGTCAGGTGCCAACCCTCGTGGTCTCGTCGCCGGATGGCGCCCGAGATGTCATGCGCAACCACGATCAAGTCTTTGCCAGCCGGCCTGCTCTCAAGCCCGCCAAAGTCCTCCTAAACGAGTG